CTAGACCAATCGCGACGTGAGAGTCTTATCTGTTATTCTAGAACCAAAACATAATAATAAAAAATGTTCATTGTGGTATACGAAATGATAATTTGATCTAAGTTTTTTCTTCCAGATTTGTAAAAAATTCTTACATTATAGGAAAAAATGAATATTATTTTCGAAATCTGCTGGAAAATCCGTTATTAAAATCAAAACAGGCCTGTGTTTTTAGTCTATCATCAGTTTAACCGATAAGTGTATGAACTACCATTTAGTTGTTTAGAATAATTTTCAGATTCAGTCTTAAATACGTCTTCAAAACTGAATAATTCCAATTTTGTTATCAGTTTCACCCTGACCGTATGCCAAAATGTGTGAATGTTGAGTAAAATGTGTAGATTTTTTTAATCCTAATTTTTAATAATTTGCCTCGTTTATTTTTCTTTCAGCTGAGCGAGAAATTGTACGCGACATCAAAGAAAAACTGTGCTACGTTGCTCTGGACTTTGAAAATGAAATGACCACTGCCGCTTCTTCTTCATCGTTGGAAAAATCCTACGAGTTGCCTGATGGTCAAGTAATAACTATCGGTAATGAAAGATTCCGCTGCCCCGAAGCTATGTTCCAGCCTTCCTTCCTGGGCATGGAAGCTTGCGGCATTCAAGAGACCACCTTCAACTCCATCATGAAATGCGACGTGGATATCCGTAAGGACCTGTATGCCAACACGGTGCTGTCCGGAGGAAGCACCATGTTCCCCGGTATCGCTGATAGAATGCAAAAGGAAATCTGTGCTCTTGCTCCCAGTACAATGAAAATAAAAATAATAGCTCCTCCCGAAAGAAAGTATTCTGTCTGGATCGGAGGTTCCATCTTGGCTTCTCTTTCTACATTCCAGCAGATGTGGATTTCAAAACAAGAATATGACGAATCTGGACCAAGTATCGTCCACCGCAAATGTTTCTAAATACAACAGTCTGGCTAGGCGTTAATAGTGCTAAATTTTGAAGATTTCTTTGGGAGTCCTTTAAGTTATCGTGTAAGAAGTTTATGGAACATTAAGATGAGATTAAAGTCCGAAGCACTGTTCTATAGTGTGTGTTTTGTTTTTATGTTAAGTCTTACCATCGGTGAGTTTTCGAAACAAACCTGGAGACCAGTGATTGAGAAATTTGCACTGTAACGTTTGTTTTTTATTTGCTTTGGTTTTGCTGTCGCATTTGAACCATAGCAATCCTTTTTTTTCACTCTAATGGCTTGCCTTAAGTTTTGAGCAGAATTATCCAGAGAACTATCTTACTATTTGTATTAAACATATAACATGGAACTGCCAATTGTGCATTTAATATATAACGAATTTCCTAGTACACTTAACTTCTGAGAATCTCGTAAAGTGTCAATTTCAGTTTCGAATATTGTTATATATATAGTTTCATTTTTGTTGTACATTTAGACTAAATAAAAACAAGTTTGGTTAAGAAATACTTGTTTAACCTCCTGTAATTTTATCGTAATTAAGTTGCGCCAATGAATATGATTTGAAATTAGCGTTTTAATTCTATTAAATCTAAACTGCGTTAGGCACTTTCACGTTTGACTTCGTATGCCAAAAAATTGCGGAATTAATTTTCACACTTATAAACCTGTTAGTCACATATAAAGGGAAACTGGCAAAGGTAATACTCCAAATTACTTTAAAACAGTTTTGTACTCGACACACTTAAATTTCATTTCTACGTGAATGTGTATAGTCTTTGTTGGCGGATTCGCAAGAATTACAAATTCAAAACCAATTACTTGTATAAGTAAGTACATTGAATATTGGGCTTTATACTGCAACAAATACATTGTAGTAGCAAGGAAATGAATACCACCTAACAACTTACATAATACAAAATAAAACACTTCGTTACGAGATTATGCTCCATATTTTTCTAACGATAAATAATTTTATTGTTAAAAAAGAAAAGTTCCAGTTCAGTGGGGTTGAAGATACATAACAAAGTGGTATAGTAAATCGTTTACTCCAGAACATATTGTGTGTGAATGTATACATAACATAGTTTTTTTGCACGGTTTATATTTTTGGTAGTTCCGATGTGCTCACGTGCGTGCAACTGTTGGTTAACTTAAACTTTGACCGTTTGAAAAATGCCTTGAAAGGAAGAAATGCTGACATGTTATATCGAATACATAGGTTTGCTCGTATCGGTAATCCTAGGTCGTGCACTTATTTCACAACTTATGTTTACATAAATATCACTCATTGTTGAAGTACAGGTGGTCACAAACAAGTACCACACACACATACAGGTGTAATCGTTCACACTGATGCTGGGCACAAGTGTTCAACGTTACCCAGCATTCCACGGAATTGCCAACTCCCTTCGCGAAGCTCTATTTCATTACCTTATATGGTCATGTCGAAGCAGAACATCCGGCGATGACGTCAGCAAGTAAACTTAGCGGAAGACAGTGTAGTAGACTTACTTATCGATTAACGACAGCCGGGCATGGCTCACGTGGAGTAAATAGGCTTGGGGCAGAGAAGGGCGGACAGTACTGTGGGGTTGAAAGTATCACGTGAGAGGCTACCAGTTGTGTATTCGAGAAATGTTAATAAAAAACAACAACATTATCATAGGTTCAATGAACTTTTTTTTGTCAATGTGAAATTCACGAACATTAATTACATTTTTTGGGTACTCGCGCTTACATTGAACTTTTAAGTATATTATAATTAAATAAATCATCATTTGTATGATACATGACTGTTTTATATTAGTGCTTTTAAAGCGTATTTTTTTACAACACGTATTGGAAATATTTCTTGTGTTAAAAAAATTGCAATTTGTTCCTAAACAAGGGTTAACGTGATACTGTGAACTACTACAGCTATGAAATGTTTACATGGTCGTATAATATTTAAAAGCTGAATTCATAATGTGTTGTTTTTAACATTAAGTGGTGTGTGTGACATATCAGTATTTATTAATGTTACCAGTTATGGCGAGTTTTTGAACAATATGTTCCTTGTATCAATTTTCTGCGGATTTACAACGCTAGAAACTGGGTTTCAATACCCGTGGTGGGCAGATCACAGATAGCCCTTTCCTTTAAAACAAAAAAAATGTAACAATTTAGTATTTCGGATAATTTGTTTTGCTACAAAAGTTATAATATGTAACCCATTTTACGATTAATTATACCACAGGAATTATTTAAAATTGTTCATTAAGCTTATATGGTGGCCGGAAATAAAGTCACAGTTTGTTTAATACCCAAACAGAACGTAAAGTAATTCAACAAAAAACATTTTTAAGTTAGTTATTTATTGCAATAATAGCATAATGCATTATATGTAACATTATATAAAAAAGAGGCATATATGAGATCAATCATTATATGAATGAGTGGAATAATTCAATAATGTAACTTCTATGAACTTAAAAATCATAATCAAAAAATTTTAAATTGACTTTTTTTCCTACATTCATCTACCTATTTGGCTTTTAATAATGTAGCTAAGAATAATACTTTAAGGGTTTTAATGTCATATATTTTACGAGATATATAATTTGTATTTCTTGGAAAATGATATCCTTAAACAAACTGGCAGGGATTAGAATAAAAAGCAGAACGTCTGATCATGTAGGTAGTTACGCAAAGGCGTCATTATCTTGATGCGGTTGAATTGATCCAGTATCTGTTCTATAAGAGTGACCGTTCGTATTAGAACTTCTGAGTGAAACCAAAGAAGAGTTTATGTCAACCACTATATCTCTACAATATCCAGTATAGAAGAGGCCTTTCACGTAGTACCAGGACTCTCGAAGCGGGCCGGGGTACGTCAGACATAGTGACGCTACACGCTACGTTAAAACGAATTGCTTTACAACAACTGTTACGTGTGAACTGTATTAAGTTTGTGTAAGTCTGCGGTAATCGGTAAGTCTGAAGGCTTATAACGCTAAAAACCGGGTTTCGACACCGTAGTGGGCAACACAAATAGCCCATTGTGTAGCTTTGCGCATAACAACAAACAAACAAAACAAATAAACGACTGATTAGATGATGATAATAATAATAAAATGATTAAAATAGTGTGTACAACTTTTCGAGTTACCTTTCACGTAGAATGAACTTTTCCAACCTTTCATATCAAATTCTTATTGAAAGAAGACAGCGCCAATCAAAGTTCTTCGTCAGTTTATAATAATTTATGGTCTGAGACTAATCTATGCTCTCAATCTATTTGAAAATTAACCGCATTAGAACTTCTGATTACGTATATATTGTTATATAAAGCGTTATTATGTTAATATAACCGAATTGTCCCCCCCCCCCCAGTGTCACAGCGATATGTCTGCGGACTTACAACGCAAGAAACCAGGTTTCGATACCCGTGGTAGGCAAACTAAATACAACCTTCCTCTGTCTATTGAAACACTGCATAAAAAAATACAAGCAAACAAATAAAGAAAAACTTTTCAAAAAAGGAAATAAATATAGGGATGGCTAATATCAATCCTTCAAAAACAATGTCACCCCTCCTATCTTGTTTGCATTGATTTTGAAGGATTGTTATTAGCCATCTCTACATTTACTTCCTTTTTTTAAAACAAATTCTTTACTTGTATATACAAGTATATATAGTGTATATTTAGATATGCATATGTATTCCACACTTGTAAATTAAGTGTGTAACGTTCTCACTTTCTAAACATAAATCGAAGAATATGTCCGCCCAGTAGTGGCACAGCGGTATATCTGCTAGAAACCGGGTTTCGAAAACCGTGGTAGGCAGAGCACAGATAGCCAATTGTGTAGCTTTGTGCATAACTTAACCAAAACAACAGAATATGTTTCTTACCTAAATTCGCAATAAACTTCGTGCAAAAATACTAATAAATATATAATGTTTAGATATATTTAGGGTTATTCTTATAGACTAATTCAATTAGTTTGTTTGTTTGAAGTTAAGCACAAAGTTGAACTTATCTGCACAACCAAGTTCTAAATACAAAGAGGCTCTAACTGTAATATTTATTGTTTATCTATTATTGGCTGATAATTCCTGTTTCACCCTGTACTTAAGCGCTTTCTTATGGAACACCAAATTTCTATAATAAAGCTAATTTCAAGGGGTAATAATAACCTCGTTTACTCTAGAATTATGATTTTTTTTAAATTACTACCCGTTATTAATAATACTTTAAAAAGGGTATATTCCGTTTGAAACTATGTCAACTCAGTGTAATTGGTTGACACCATTGTTCTGGGTTTTGAGTTACCATGTAACAAAAAAAAGCAGAAGAAAGAAGAACAAGAAATTCAAACTTTTTGCAACGATATTTATGGGCATTCCCAGAACTTGTGATTTAGACGTTGTTACAAAAGAAAACATTGTATAGTATTGTAAAGTTGTGATGACTTATTGGGGAGAAATTTAAAATACCATATCAAAAGAACAATCCGAACCATCCCTACATAGACAGTGCTACCGGCTGCTTGATATATTTACTAAAACACCACGGTACCGAACTCTTCTATGTTTTCTCGTCTTTATTATTTTCTACCGGTTTCGTGACTTCAAAGGTGTCTTGAGTGTATTATTGCAAAGAATCGATTGTGAAAAGTTCAGATTGAACTTATCAACTAAACATAACCTGAATTAGATATATATTTTCCGAAATACAAGCCTACACAAATTAATTATTAACAAATACTCCAAAATAAATTAGTTTTAAGCTTATAAAGAACACTTTCGCTTCTTTTCTATTCATTTATTATTTTATTTAGATTAAAATTTCATGGTAATTATATTTTTTCCTGTTATTATAGAAAGGTAATCTACTTCAACAATCTTTAAAAATTTCATAAAGCAATATGAGTCCCCTTAAGGAAGCCTCCCCCCAAAGTGACTTAACGGTAAGTTTCCGAACTCACACTGCTAAAACCGGGTTTCAATACTCGTGGTGGGCACAGCACAGTTAGCTCATTGTGTAGCTTTGCGCTTAATAACAAACAAACAACCCTTAGTGGGATAGCGTTAAAGGATATAGCCCAAGCCCCCCAGTGGCACAGCGGTATGTCTGCGGACTTACAAATTACTGTGTTGATTTTCCGATGATGAAACAGTGCCAGTCTTCCTCTCAGATACGGTAATAGACCACTATCTACGAAGAGCTTAAACTTACTGAGCGATCAATTCTTAACCTTACAAATAAAGATATGGACTGTTATAGACAAATCTCAAAATATAGTAGTATTAACTTCATTTAGTAGTCAATTTTATGTGGCTTTTTTTTCCCCCAGTGCCTTCAGTGCAAGATACAAACGTGGTAATTCGAGCTTCAAATCCATACATTTACGTTTATACTTTGTTCGAAATCAGGAATGGCCAACTTTATTGGGTTTACGGCCGAAAATATCTTTAACAGTGATGCTATCCAACTGATAAAA